ATGATTCGTAGCGATTCACGTTTCCAGCGTGACAGACGCTTGACATCCAGGATCAACATACGTCAGAATATTGTGTCTGCAGGAATACTGAGCCCCCGAGTAGATTCAGAGGGGAGCGGCGAGCTCTAGCCTGGAACCTCATGAGGAACGGGGGGAACGGGTCTTCTCTGAGAGCTCACAATATTTCTATAACCTTCTCCTTCTGTATGTTCAGCATGGCTTCGCTTACATTCCGCAGTGCTATCCGACGGAGACATCCACAGAAGACATCGGGAATATTTCCGAAGTGACGTCCAAGCTCCTGCGTAACCTCATGCTTCTCGCCTCCGTGGGAAGTCGGGAGGGGAGCCGGTTGCTCAGGAATCGGAGATGCGGGGGATTCTATTCTCTTGATCGCAAGCTAATGCGGAGAGCCGCGGATCTGTGGGAACGATCCGTAAAGCCCGGTGGACTGGAAAGAATCGATTCGGATCTTGTCTCCCCGAACTTCGATCGCTCCCAGGGAATCGAAAGTCTAGCTAAGCAGAGAGAGAATTGAGAATTGCAATCTTACACGAAGAGTTCGCAGATCGTGGAATTCACCTACAAATGCTTCCTTTGACGAGCGAGATGTGCCGAGCAAGATATGTGCATTATCGGATGAAGAGGACGCTATCTTTCTGGCGACGATTTGCCGACCGATCGACTCAGTCAGTAGCACTCGAAATCTCTTCGGAATCGACGATACTGCATGAACGACATCATGTCGCTAACAGTGCGGAACACGGCGCTGAGCGTGCTCCGAGCTGGCTGCCGCTGCTCATTGCCAGACGAGACTTCTGTTCGCTGGTCGGTACGTCCGTCTGTCTGTCTGTGCGTCTATCTATCCGTCCAACGCTCTTCCTGCTTGTCTGTTCCTCGGTCCGACGATTCGCCTGTCGTGGGGCGTTGGGTGAAGCGCTAATCCTAGCGAGTATCTCGGATCAGGAGAGCGAGACGCTAAGACTCTCTCGGAAAGACGGGGCTCTGTCTTCGAACGTCTTATACGTCTTCCGCGCTATCCATCGATGCATCAATGTTTCATTTGCCGCTCACAAAACAATGACGCCCGCGATATCTCGCGCTGCCGGAGCGAAGAATCTTGAAAAGTAAAAAAGTTTCGAATCTAGATATTGCGAGCCTTCCCGGATCTTGACGTTCTCCCGAAGGCTCTCGGCTAACGGAAGTTCAAGCTCCGATCCGCAGAATAGCAGCCGACTGCATATGAGTCAAATGCTCCTGCCCACGACGATCGCATAGGGTTACTAAGGTTCGGCGATGAAATGCGTATGGAGACAAATAGAGCGCCTCCGCAGGGCACCACTATTTGAGCGGCGCTCCTCAAATGAACGGGAGCCGTAAAATTGCACCACGGTGGTCTCGGAATATCCACGACGAAGATTCGTGGAGCATTTCCCTCCCCCCCTCCATGTCAGAGGAGACTTCTCTGTTGGTAATCCAAGTCCTATCCGAGCTATGCGATAATTTTCTCCCCTCGAGCTTTTCAAGCACGGACTTTTGCGCAAGCTCGGATTCGTTCAACTACGGCTCCATAAACCCTCTCTCCCCTCGGCGATCGGAAAACCACTGGGCGCCGAAATATTATCTATGCGGAGGATATGAGACGTACTCGCGCTCCAGGAAAGCATCGAGCCCCTAATTACTCCTGAATCAGTTTTGAAGACAGTGCTCGAGAAGCAGCCGAGAACCCGGACGCTGCTGTCGTTCCTTCGGTTTGTTTCGAAATCCCCAGCTCTCGATCCCCTTCCCTAGCAAAACAAGATGGAGTTGCTCATCTGACCTTGATAACGGCACAAGGAGCCGCATCTACGCAGTATGGTAAGCGTATCTGATGTATCTAATGATAATGATAGCCTACGTCGGAGGCGCATCGGTTAGGTAACGCAGTCATCGAATCCTCATTCAAAGTCCGCCTCCGTACAAACTCCGGAGGTTATCGAATACGACTGACTGGCAGCTTGCGTCCTTGCTCTGCGGCTGTCTAGCCTGCCTAGCCCGCAGCCTGTGTCGAGGGAACATTAGCGAGCGTCTGCTGTACTGCTGATGGTGATTCGGAGCAGAGGGAGATCCATCACTGGCATCCCTCAACAAACCTAAGGAAAACGCAAATCTCGATACGATGTCATTTCCGGAGCGAACCCGACTCCCTCGGATGTCGTTCGCTTGCCCAGACGTACGACAAGATCCATCCCGAGTCAGTTTATTCGACACGCTTCCGAGTAATTCCAGTCTGCCCTTGGATTCGTGTTGGGTCTCCCCTCGATTCCCACGACTCAAATTTGGAACTGTCAAGTCGATCGGATGCGGAGTCGTCCGAGTGGAGCCCGTCACTTCGTAAGGCGTGATATTCCCGATAGGTCCGGCAAGAGCTTGGCTTCTTTTGAGTTTTTGATTTCGATGTAAATCCTGATTTGCGAAGGTTATGCTAAGGGTGGATGATATCATCCCGCTGACAAGTAGTGATCGATCGCTCTCCGAGGATATAAGCATGGCTCAGATCGGTTCCTTCTTCCGGTGTTGGACACTTCCGAGAGGAGGTCTGTGCGGAGGGCGGACAGTAGAAGTCGCGGCGCTCGTTGTCCGCCGTGTCAGAGCCGAGCGTTGGGAAGTCTGGCTACCGTCGACAAGAAACGGCTCGATTTAATTAAGTGAGGTCCCCGATTCGGTAATATCTCTCACGCACAGACTTTATTTTAGCCCTGGAACTCCTCAGAGAGAACCGGTCCGGGCTCTGCAGTGGCGGACATTAAATAAATGGAAACCCGCAGAAACAGCTTGTGAATTGCTGGAGCAAACAGAAACCGCCGCTTAGGACCTGATGCTCTCGTGAGACACTCAAACTGATTGAACTCGCCGAAATTTCCCGGATCGAGTCAGCCTGATTCGGAGACGATTCGCATCCCTACGCACGCTGTTGCTCTTCGAGCTAGTCATCGATTCGTTTTCCGGGACGATGGTATCGATTCTAACACGTTCGTTCTGAGGAACGCTCGCTGTCCGAGCGTTCTGTCGGTCGTGTGGAGCTGTTCCTGCTCCCGCTCGGGCTCGGTCTTCCCCAACGCAGGATGCACGCTCCTACGAGACACGTCGGAGGCGCCGGGCCCTCGTCGACCAGTAAGTGCCAATAATAATAGAAGGCCCGGTCGCGATGTCGAATCGCTGGCTGGCGTTGGGTTCGAAAGCGAATTCCCGTCGGTACCCTACACCTTGTCGACATGCGAGTTTTCTCTCCAGACTGCTCAGTACGGTAGTCCGCTTCTGGGCTCATAACTTATTGATCCCCGTTCGGGATTCCGTTCTTGGGACTCTCGTATCAAAGTAGAAATTCGACCCAGACCACCAGACTCTGTCGTCCTTCCGAGTCAGGGAGACTTTTGGAGAGACTCGAGCGTACGGGACGAGCACCAACACTCAGCGCGAGCGATGCGTTTCCGCCCCGTGAGCATTTCCGACTTCATCGACGATGACGTCCTGACACTATCGACCGCAAAGATGCTCGGGTGGAATTCATCTAGCGTGCCATGAAAAAGCCGTGAAAATGCCAGAGACATAATACCCGGGAAACCCACGACGGAGCCATATGGCACCGACCGAAGACCGGCAATAACAAGTCCGTGTCGACGGGGCATCAGAAAGCGGGAAGATTTTTCAATTTCGATCGACTTCGATTGTCAGCCGGATGATAAGACAACTTTCCCTCCTCAACCTCGACTGGACGCTTAGCTCGGATCGAGGAAGAGGCTGGAAACCACAAGAAAGGAGAACTCGACGATTATCGTGTGTGCGGTTCGACCCGCCGACCGATAAGGGTTCGGAAGTGCACTGCTCGGAGTTCCGCTGGTTTGGACTTTGCCATTTGACAGAACCTCGATCCTCGTCCTGCTCCCGCCATTGACTGGGATGGCTGTTCCCCGCGGGAGAGGAAAAGAATGAAAAAACTATCCCAAATTGGGAACAAGCGCGGGGTCTCGAACAGTCGCTTCGATGGTTGCTCGGATGGTTGGCTGGTCGGCTCGGTGGGCGGTTACCCCCTGCCCCGTTTGCGTCGCGGCCACTTTGGACGTGGCTCGCAATTCTGAGTGGGACACGCCGAGGGCGTCGAGGTCACGTTCTTTCACACGCCTCTCCCCTAAAGTTCCCGAGCATGCTTTTCGAGCCTTCATACGACTACGACCACTAGTCGCCGCCGCCGTCGACGCACAAGCGTCCACGACCGCCAGCACCTACCATAGCCGTTCCCCCTGAGCAGAATCAACATCGCTGTTTCTCTGAGGCTCCTAGTAGCGGTCGAAGACACGTCTTACGGCAACACGCTTTCTCATTTATTGTGGCTTTGCCCTGCCCTCTCCAGAAATCGAAGGACCCGTGTTACGTGTTGGTATCATCTGGTAGCGGACAAGCGATCCGAGGGAGAATCCCCGCCAACCAGAACGATCCCCGGGCTCTCACGTCGAGGTTTTCTCACGAGGAATACATCCGATTAGACCTGTAGACCTCATTCTCAACATTTCCCGACGAGGGGGGACCCACAGATGAGGTTTCCGGCCTGTTACCTTCCATCGGGTCCCATGGAAATCGGCATCGAACGGTGAGCCTCCAACCCGCCCCGTGGGGAGCATGGGAGTCGCGCCTGATGTTAGATAATCCCTAATTCCGGGTCCCGTTGGTGGATCCATATTCCTCACAAGACCTTCCATCTTCCATCCAGCCGGAGAGCCTTGCCGTCCATCAGGTGCCTCGAGCGGGAGATCTCAATTATGTTTTTGCGAGGTATCCCGGTTTAACAACGAAGGACTTCGCTTCTCCGAACTCCTCCGCGGTAGCATCGACTATGAGACTATGAGCCGTCCTCACAGAGAAACTACTGGGACAGGATCAGCACATCATTGGATTTACCAGCTCCGTTCTCGACAGTCATTCTTGGCGAAGAAAACGACGATTCTTCCCCATGCGAGTGCAAGATGTCGGAAAAGTTCGATGCTCACAAGACGATTCCCGCACTTCAGCAGGCCGACGTACGTGATCCGATAACTGACGAAATGGACAACACAATGCTGCGCCTGCTGTACACGTTCCGTGCTCGGCACGTAGAGACGGTAATAAGTCATTTCTCCGCTCAGTTGCGGGATTTAGGGACGTTCCTCCAGATGAGAGCGAATTCTATGCTCACCCAATTTCACCACGTGCTCCTCGAGCGCAGCGCTTACGAAGTCCAGCTGCGCGGCGCTTTGATCAAGTCGCTAATGTTCCTGAACTCGACACCGCTGATGGATGTTGACACCATCGAACGTATGGAGATTCGTTTCCTCGAAGCCTTCGCTCAGGTCGGCGGCGATCCGCAGCGCTGGAGACGAATACAACAAACCGCCGACTACGATCGTATGAGTCTCGATGAGGTTTTAGAGCACTTCAGTCTGCTGTCGGCCACAGTACGCGACCTCAAGCAAGTGAACCTGAAGCTCCAGATTGAGCTCCAGCATAATCTCACAGATGTGCTCCAGTACTATATCACGAGCACGGGAATTTCGATTGAAGAAAAAATCGTCTCCCAGCTCGAGGATGTTCTCCAAGTCACATGCAATGATCTCGTGACCCTCATCGACAAATCGTTCCGGCTCGTGAAGAACGTCATCGTTGCAGGCGAGCCTATTCATGATCACGCTGCGCTAGAAGAATCCTCTCTCGTGATGAACATCGACGATTTGGAGCGAGTTCTATGCAGATAGCAGGTTCGGCTGTAAATGCTAAGCCTGCCCGCCGGCACGCACGCGGGAGGAACAGCAATAAATTACAGCCGCGTATTCTTTGATGAAGGACTGGAGCACTTATTCCCTCTCCCTTGGAGGGGAAAAGCTCGCGATCTTGCATTTTTCGAGTAGACAAACATACAAGATACATCGGGAGTGCCTTTCGATATATTGATACGGTCTTACAGAGGCGAGGGTTTGCTTCAGTCGTTGGACGAACATTTATGGAGAAGTTCCTAATCAGGCTCAATTTTCCGATCCGCACCCGAAGAGCTTTCTATGGAGAGAATGCATGAGCCGCGAGCTGCACGGAATCCGCTGCCGTGTGGATACGAGCGTTGCTCGCTATGGAAAGATTTTTCCGCAGACCCAACTCAGCTCTATCGGCGGTCTGGGCGGTATAGATTGATTCATCAGAAGCTGCTTGACTCGGCAGGAAACGGGGTCGAACGGAGGAAGGCAGGGAACACCAGCCGGTCAGATATGGATAGAGCGTCGGGAGTATTTGAGGGAATAATGCCTCTCTCCGACGGCTAATTTCGTCTAGACTGAGGTTTGATAATTCTGTCGTCGAGTCTCATCTATAGCTCAGCCAATATCTCTGCAGAGCTATCTTTGTCATCATCATCATCAATATCCACTGTTTCCTCTTCCTCCTCCTCCCTCAGAGAGGGTATGGGAGACATGATATAGACTGTGTGCGACTGAGCTAGGCTGGAGAACAAAGTGGGAGGCTTTGCGGCGAGGTCAGCAAAACGACGGGAAAAGGGACCGGACGAGGTGGGATAGGTCGCCAGGATCGTTGCGGGGACGGGAAGCCCTGCGAAATAAGTCTTGCGATCGGCCGATCACGGAATATAGAGAATGAATGTTAAAAATGGGTGGCCGGTCTGAATAAGGGACGAGCTCGATTTCGATTGATATTCCTCCAGGAAGAGTAATTCGGACTTCCGAATTCTCATTCGTCGCAACGAGAATCACTGCCCTCAAGCGTCGCGATCATGGGAAAAAATCCGAAATCTCCCGCGTGGAGTCCGTTCGACTTGAAAGCGTCGCACTGAGGAGCAATTTCTATTCCATCGTTGGAATGGGAAGTTTCCCCAAGAATGATCCTTAGAAGCGGAGTGTTATCAGTTACCACATCACATCCTCTAATCGAGCTACTCTGCATTTCGCTTCCTTCATTTGCTAGCGTTGACTTTTTCCCTCTTCGCTCGCTCTGAGAACTTGGATTAAATCGACTTAGTATCTAATTAAGTGCGAAGACGAGTGGAGAAAAAATTTTAATATCAAGAGGTGTGTTTGGAAGAGCCAGTCAACTAGCAAGCGAGAGAGAGGAAGAGAGAGAAAAGCCGAGCCCAGCTGGCAAGCATCGGATGGTCTTTTTCGGTCGCTGTCCATATATATGAATTCCGTGGCCGCGCACAGGAGCTCTCGTGTGCTTGCTCCGCGGGGCGACCAGCGGACCGGGGGACGGAAAATCAATGCGAGCCTTACACCCGACTTTGCCCCTCGTAGGACTTATATCCTGCTCCCATGACGCCATGGTCGATAATTTTCTGCGGGAGGATCCGCTCAGAGAGAGATCCCAGACGGAAGAGGGAGCGAGAGCGCAGTAATTAGATACCGAGAATTTATTCGAGAACTCCAAAATCAGGAGCTTCTGGAGAATCTCCCTGACCATGGAATCTATTCTCCTCACCCGCGGAGAGCGAGAGACGAACGGAAATTCTCGGGCAACGAACCTCATGGATGTCTGGAGAATTTTCAGTGGCAGAAGAAAAAGCAAGTCGCTCTGTGAGCATCGCGATGCTATAATCGCGATGAGACGGCGCCCATAGCGAGCTCCCTGATCAGGAATGGTCGGACGAATAAATCGAGACATGGAATTCTGGTACCCGAGGGTAATGAAAGTCGCGGAGAAGGAGGATGAGCCACGTCATTTCCTGACGTGATCTGCTCGCATCACCAACCGATGTCCTGCTTCCCAGTCACCGCTGTCGGCTTGCCTGACTTCGGCCGGACTCAAGAGAAACACATTCGAGAACAGGAATCAGGGGGGGAGCAGGAAAAAGGAAAGTATGGAGCGAACGACACGGCTTGATCAGTGTGCTGTCGGGCGCCGACCGTGTCTCCCACAGCGGTGGGAGGTGGACACTGCGATGAGGAGCATGTCATTTTCAGCAAGCCCGCTTGTCTTCTTCCTCCATCTGGGTGAGCGAACACGACGGCGACTTCCTCCAGCGCCACCAAAAGCGAGACCACAGCGAAGATCAGCAGCACGATAGGATTCGGGGACTCTTGTCCGCACCGGAATCCGTAGCGCGCCCCAAATACGCGGTGAACCCCCCTGATTTTCAGTTCTTCGGTGGCACACCTCGACCGACGGAGCTCGACGTAGCGAAGAAAATCGTTTTTTCCAGAAAATCTGCTCTTTCACACGGAAGCTGCACGGGACGAGTATCGTATCGATATTCCGACTTCGCGAGCGGATGGGGCGACCAATAATTGCCCGTCACAAGCTATCCCGCTACCGAGACTTCCGAAACGTTTTTCTGACACAGCTTTCCGCCGGGCTAGTTGAATTGATTTCGAAAAACAGGATTGCCCGATGCCAGCCGAATGTGTTCTTCCGTCACTTCCGACCTTGCCAGGATTCAAGGTAGGTATGCCCCGCTCAGATGCGGCTCTTGAAGGAGAGCTTTCCGTGCCCTCACCACCACCTTCGGTTCCGGCTGACTGAATTATCGTTTCACCATGGAAGCTCATGAGAGCTCCTGGAGTCCAATTCTGTAAAGCAGTTCTGAGTTTCGCCATTGCCAGCCGCTCGAAATACTGGCTTTTCGGACTTCACGACACCTCAACGCCTGACATCGCACAGGAATGAGGCACCCACTCGAGTCAGAAGTCAGAACTCACCGTTTTTGCACTTGACCCCTAACTACGGCCATCAGTGTGGGCTTCGGCGGAGCACTCGGATCTTGTGTTGCTGTATTCCTGAGGTTCGCTCTGGGAATTCACGCTAACAGCCAGCCCACGTACTTCATCGAAAGTCCATCAGGCACGAATACTCATCTCATAATAATTCAGCACATTCACGGTGACACAGCTGTCCTCCGCCCGGAGCGGGAACGGCCACCGCGCTCGTAGCTGCTGAAGAGATACACAAGGTGGGCCTCTTCAGCCTCGCCCTCAAAGTCAGAAGCTCTCGAGGTTGCGCGTATTGCGTCATGAGCTAGACGAGGATCCCTCTTTCTGATATTTACACCGGCTTAGAGAGCCCGTGGGCTGAAGTCCCACAAATTTCCAAGGTCGCGACAAGGAATAAATTCTTCAAGAGAAAAACGGGCACCGATAATCGGGGTGCGGGACGAAACCGTGGGAGTCACAGGGCTGAGTTCCTCGCGACAGATCTCCAATTTGGTCGCCTCCAATTAGAAAAAGAGATTTGATCGAAGCCTGTCGCCTGTCCCCTAAGAGCTTATTGGCTAGAGTCCCTCTTCACATTCCAGATGAAGTCCGTATGCTGCTCGAATGGATAATTTTGCCGAATCACAGTGGTGGGGATTTCATCCGTCAAATCCTGACAGAACGCTCGCATATAAAATGCTCAAATATGACTGTAGCTCATGAATATGTAGCTTGCCGCATCCGGATTCTGAGCCTAGGGAGCCGTATAATCTGAGGAAACCACTCCGGAGTCCCGGTCGAGCGTCGCATCCTCCTTTTCTGAAATCCTCGGGCCGGAGTTTAGATCAGGCATCCATCGTTTTCCAAGGGATGATTCCTCGGATCTGTATGAACAGACCGCTCAGTTCCGCTGAGTAAAGCGACTCAGTCTTTGGACGGACTCAGTCCGATCGCAAGCCACTGCGCTTGTCCTCGCTTCCATTGATCCACTGTCGCCGAGCCGCTCCTTGAGCTAAGCATAACAGCCTCCGGGGCGGCAGAGTCGAAAGTCCACGAAATGTTCGTTGTGCCTCTCCTCCACTCCTACCTATTGCTGATGACTGCTGTTTTCGAGAGATCGGAAGCCGACGCGAGGATGAAAAAACCCAAGATCGCTCGGAAGATTCCGGATTTCAACAGCAGCTACTACAAACGAGAATTCCACCCCTGTACGAATTTCAAGCCATTCAATCCTGTCGAACAAGTCCGCGCCCGAGTTCATGCAACAAGGGTATTCTCAGCGTGCGGGCCGAAGTTGATCGTGAAACACGCGACGAACCTGCACTTCCCCGCTTCCGGTCTGTACCGTCATTCATTCATTACGTTTCGCGCCTATCTCGCACCAATCGAAGTGTCGATCCTAAGCCGGTCGGAGCTCTGACGTGACGATAACTCCGAATTCCAGCTATCCAAGGTCTCATGAGAGTCGCGTGTTTCTCGACAGTAGTTTCGTATGCCTACGTCGCCGATGATGGGACCACGATCCTTGACAACACGGGGCAAGTGTCTGCAGTGGAGAATACGATGTTTAATCTGATAGAAGCCGCGAAGAGCATCGATCACGTTTTTAGAATGCGTCTCGGCAAGGAAGTTTTCAGGATCAGCGTTTTCGATTTGACCGATCTGCTCGAAGTTCTCGCGAGATGCGGCTTGTACCGGGGTGGATCGCCTGCTTTGGTAGCCGACATGCTGCTTCATACTATATTATATTATGGCTTCGTTCTTCTCTGAAGCTCATTAATGGCGGTTCCTCCTCAGCCGCAATCAATTACCAGCATGATTGAGATCTCGCCTGATTAGCAGGAATTATAAATTGTACCAAGCCGCCTCAATTTGGGTCTTTTCTTGAAGTGACTCAAATCTGCCGAGGACCAGTCTCTAGCCCAGCGACTACCCGTGCGTACCGTCAGTCGGTGTCCAGCGGACTTCCTCATCATTATGAGAGAACTCGTATTTGCTCGTGGTGAACTGACACTGCCAGCCTGACAGCGACATAAGTCGCGGGTCGCGGATCGAGATGGCTCAGAGAG